CGACCTCTCTCACCGGGCCTCCTTCCCTTCCCCTCTTGGCGTCCTGGAGGCGAGTCTCACTTCCCTCGTGTGAGGGCCGACTCTTCCGTCGCAGCCCTACCCTCGGTGTAGGTAATGTAGGGTCAGGTTGTATAGTAGTTGGTGTTAGGGTAGTACACATAGTAGTAAGTACTAAGTAGTAGATAATAGCTAGTAATAGTAGTGGTAGTAGTAGTAGTAGTAGTAGTAATAGCAGTAGTAATAGTAGAAGTACCAATTGTAGGAGTGGTAGAAAAGGTATGAGTGAGAATGAATATCTTCACAATACAAGAGATGTATTTGACCGGTTTCGAATACATGTCGGTCAGGAAAACATTTCCGACGAAGATTTACTCGAAACCGGTCAAATGCTTTTCTTGTATTGTGAAGATATTCATTCTCATTCACACCTTTTCTACATTTGTCAACATGAATACGGTTCATGCTGTAGTGGTAATAGTAGTAATAGTAGAAGGAGTAACAGTACTAGTAGTAGCAGTACCAACAGAGGTAGTAGTTATAGTAGTGGTATTAGTAGTAGTAGTAGTAGTAGCAATAGAAGCAGTTGCAGTAGAAGTAGTAGTAGTTGTGGAAGTAGCAGTTGCTGCTGTAGTAGTAGTAGTCGAAGTAGTTGTAGTTGTAGTTGTAGTAATAGCAATAGCAGAGTTGCACCAGCAATAGTATAGCAGTAATCATAGTAGCCGTAGTAATAGTAGCAGCAGTAGTTTTAGCATTAGCATTATCATTGTCATTATTATTAACATTACCACCATCATTAATACCAACATCATTTCGATTATCATTATCATTTAATATAGTCAATATCATACTAAATATTACCATCGGTGCTTAGTTCCTAATTCAGTTATTGACTGAGTAATAATAACATTTACTAATAAAGTTCTTTATACTGTTCCTTCAACCCAAACAAACATTTTATTGGCGATGGCTGGTTATTTTCGTTGTATCCTCGCTCAATTTCGTTAAAAAAAAACATGAGAACAAATAACGTAACAATTATTCTTTATATAGTTAATAATGATATTTTATATTATTTATAATTATTTTTTATATAGTTTCCGTTTTATATGAAGATTGATAATGAGTGGTACGTAAGGTCGCCGTTTCTTTGAACAATATAAGCGTTTTCAAGAATTTCATGTTTTTTTTTTTTTCGTTATTTTTATTCACGTTGTCATCTTTATTAATGATTATCTCAATGTTATTTTCAACACTCTTTTAATAATGTTAATGTTATCAATATGATTTCCATTATTATTACTATCATTATTATTATTACGATTATCATTATCATTATCATTTATTTTATCATACTATTATTATTGTTATTGTTATCATTACTATTATTATCATTACTATTATCATCATTATCATTATTATTACTATTATCATCATCATTATTATTGATAATATTATTGTTATCATCACCATTATTACTTTTGTTATTATGATTATTGTTATTATCATCATGATCATCATCACCATCATTCTTAATATCATTATCATTATCATCATTATTATCATCATTATTATCATCATTATTCTTATTTTCATTATCAATATCATCATCCTTATAAAAATTGTTATTGATTATTTTTATTATTACTGTTATCATCATCACTATATTTATCATTTTTATTTGCTGTTGTTAATATTAGTATCGTTTATTGTTATTGCTTTTATCATTATTATTATCATTATTTTTTTAGTATCACCATTATCATTATCATCATTATTATCATCATTATCATCATCACTACCATCATTACCATTATCATTATTGCTATCATTATCATCATTATTATCATCATTATTAATCATTATTACCCTTATCATCATCATCATTATTATCGTTATCATTCTTAGTATCATCATTATAATAATCATCACTATCGTTATTGTTACTATCAGCATTATTATCATTGTCAGTATTATTACGTTCATATTTTAATATCATTATTATTACCGTTATTATTATCATTATTATTCTAGTACTATTATTATTATCATTAATATCATCATCATCATCATCATTATCATCGTTATCGTTATTATTATCATTATCATTATTATGATTATGATGATAATGATGATATGATGATGTTGGCGATCATGGCTATTGTGATTACCATTAGTAACATTAACATCATTTTTATCATTATTATTATTACTGTTATTATTACCGTTATCATCTTTACTATTAGAATAGTTATTATTATTGTTATTATATTAGCATTTCCTTGTTATTATTAGTATCATTAATATTATCATTATCATTGTTATCATTATTATTATTGTTTTTTTTATTATTATCATCATCACCATTACCATCATTATCATAATACTGTTATTACTATTAGTATTATTATCATTATTATCATTATCATTTTTATTATTACTATTAGCATTATTACCATCATCATTATAATCATTATTATTATTATTGTGTTATTATCATCATCATTATTATTATCATCACAATCATTATTATCATTACTATCATCGTTATCATTACTATTATTATTATCATTATTATTGTGATTATCATTATTATTATTATTATTATTATCATTATTATTATCATTATCATTGTTATTACTATCATAATTATAGTTCTCAATTTAATATTTTTATTATCATTATCATTTTCGCTGTTGTTATTATTATTGTTTTTTCTTCTTCTTTGTTTACTATTAATTTCTTGATTATCATTATCATTATAGTTAGTCTTGTTCTTGTCATTTCTATTGTTATTTTGCCATTATTCTCATCTTTATCATCATTATCTCTGTTATTATCAATATTGGTATTATCATTATTAGTGTTACTATTGTTATTATCATTATTATTTTTATATTTTTTTAATTACTTTTACCATTACTATTATCGTTATCATTATCAGATTATTATTACTATTCTCATTATTATTATCAAAATAATTACTATCATTATCATTATTATTATCATTATCATTATTATCATTATTATTAAAAGTATTGTTATCAATGATATAGTTAATATTATCGTATTTGTTACTACCTTTCTTTCTGTATGTTTGTTGTTGTTATCTTTGTTTTCTATATGACAATAGTTATTATCATCATCATCATTATTATTATTATCATTATTATTATTATTATTATTATTATTATTATTATTATTATTATTATTATTATTATTATTATTATTATTATCATTATCATTTCTGTCATTATCATTATCATTATTATAAGTATTATAATTATTATTATTATTATTATTATTATTACTATCATTGCTGTCGTTGTTATTATTGTTACTCTTACTATTATGATTAATATTGTTATCATTATTATCCATTTTATTATCATTACTGTTATTGTTATTATCATTTTCATTATTTCTATTGTAGTTGTTGTCGTTATTGCTGTTGTTATTATCATTGTTATCATTTTGATCATTATTATCTCTAGTATTACTTTTATCATTATCATTGTTCTTAATGCTGATATAACTATTTTGATTATCTTTATTTTCATAATTGTTGCTATTATTATTATCAATGTTATTATTATTATCGTCATTATTATCATCATCATTGTTTTTATTATCAGTATTAGCCATTATTATTGCTACTGCATTATTATCATCAATATTACTATTGTTGTTATTGTTCTTATTGTTATTATCATTGTTATTACTTTTATTATTATGAGCATCATTATCATTGTTATTATTATTGTTACTATTAATTCTATCATATTTTTTATTATAATTTTCATCCTTATTATTGTTACTGATATCATTATTTTTGTATTATTGATAATAATTGTATAATTATTACTGGTTTAATGATGATGATGTTGATAATGATAATGATAACTGTTATCATTTTTTATCATCATCATTACCTTCGTCAAGGAGGTTATATTTTTGGTAGCGTTGGTAGTTAGTTATGACAGGTAAGACAAAAAGTTATGAATAATTTTTTATGAAAATAGATGTGCCTTAACCTAACTTAGATGCATTTTTTGGTGGTGATCCGAATCTAGGATTTTTTTTAATAATTGCTTCAGTTACCCCTAAAACCTTGGCAATAGGGGTTACTATTATAATTATCATGACCTTTATTATTCGCATTAATGGAGGTATGCGCTCTCTAAATGCTTCTAGTTGTTGTTGCTGTCGTTATTATCATGATTATCATCATAATTTTAATCAACAGCAGAAACAACAGTATTATTATCATTATTACTATTATAATCATTATCAGCAGCAGCAGCAGTATCATATTAATTATTACTATTACTATCACTATCATTATTTATGGTTATTATTATCATCATTATCATTATTTTTTATTGTAACGTTTGTTACACAACAACGCTACTACTACCAGTGATAATAGTATTATACTAATGGTAAATAATAATAGTAGCGGTAGTAAAAAAATATATAAAATAATGATAATAATAACGATCATAAAGATAATAATGATAATATAATGACGATAATAATAATTATTATATTATAATGAGAGTAATAATACTAATAATGACGATATTGAAAACGATAACAACAGTAACATTAATGATAATAGTAATAATAATGATTATAATGTTATCATCACTGTCATTGTTGTCATCTTTACAATTATTATTCTCGTTCTAAAAAAGCCAGAGGTTCCTATAGACAAGTCCCGCCCACAAATACATCTTGCTCAGCCAATCAGATAAAAGGTAAAAAATCTTCAGCCAATCGGGACACAGCACAGAGCACACCAGCATCACTTCTCACTTCTGATTGGCTGATAACTGACGGCACCCGGGTGGAGGCTAGGGAGGGCGGGGCCGTTGACTACCTCAAGCCACGTTGCCCACTTATTATTCATAATTTTATCATCATTATTGTTTTTGTTTTGTTTTTTGTTTTGTTTTTGTCATTGTATTTATCATTATCATTATTCTTATTATTGGGTTTAT